TCAGCCCAAAAGGGGGGCAATGTCACGTCACAAGAGAATTAATTATTGAAGTCGTTAGGTGCACCGTGTTTCGCGGTGAACTGTTAGACACAGGGATGTACAAACTTGTGTCATAGTAAGTAAAGTTTCATGTCCTGCCTACAGCAAATATGAGGGGTACTTACACCGTGTAAGCTGTAAGATTTTCACCTACATTTCGGTGGATTTTATTGACTCCATCTTCAGGGTCGAAGACTAGACACAGAAGTGAATTGCTAGAGATGCTATGTTAAATGTTGTCACGTGTATTAGTGACTATAGACAGGGTTTGGATTGGATTACTTCATTTAATGACACCTTATACATTCACACACCTCGGGACTACAGGCAATTGCAGCGCTATCACTGATTGCACACTTTGCAGTTCACCGTTACACACGCACTAACGTTCTTAGTCTTCATTAGTCGTGTCCTGGCAACGGATTTACAACACGCTCAGTGTCACTGCATCACATATTAAGTCTTCTTTCCACATTTTAATTCCTTTCTATCTATTTCTTCTCAATCACCTTCGACTGCCGACACTCTCAATTCAATTCCTCTGTTCCCAAGCTCATATCCTGGCAGGCTGGGTTCTCGAAGCTCAACTAACTCATAACTAACTCTTTGTCCCATTTATGACCCCCGGCACGGATTACATAGAAAATAAGCCTCTCCATTGTTGAGAAGACGCGTTTACATCGACTTTGCATAGCAACCGAAGTTATTCGATTGTTGCTTGCGTATTCGTTGCAGCGGGAACGTGTTGCCTAGCAATGAACGTCTCCTCTGAATTTATTATTCGGGCTTTCGGGCGTCATATCACAGTATTGGCGGGTTTAACGTAAATACCACAGCCGACCTGGCCAGTATTTAGCTTGCAAAGGTTTAACTGATAAATTTCTGGAACCTAGACCTTTTAGACGAAACGTCGTGAGGCGTACTTTTGTACTGTCTTTCTACTTTCCGTAGACCTCATTCTCGTCAAAATATCCGACTGAAGTACTCGTGAGTCGAACTCGGAACAAATAAGCCTGTCTGAAGCGCCTTGATAAGCTGAAAGTCTGCTTGCTAGTTTATTCGTAGACAAGCTTAATACATTTCCAGCGCTTAATTCAATTATCCTCGATAAGTGCATTCGCGTGTTTCCTACCAGGCCTTCGTTTCAAATTAACTGCCTTCTAAATAATAAAATTTCCTTATCAGCACAGCTTTCTTAATCTTGATTCGTTGGAAGTTTGTCCCCACATACCTTGACTAAGAGCTGCTTATTCTAATTATCGTAACATGTTATTGTGTAAGAGATGCTAACATAGTCGTATGATGGAATTCGACAAGTTGGCTCAAGCGGTAAAACTTTCAGCTTGTATTCGGGGTCTGCCTCTTTCGAGTCCGGAAAAGGACACTGTTTATCATGACAGGCTATCCTCAGGATATCACACGAATTGTAGGATATTATCTTTGAAGGTTGCTCTTCCTCCCCGATCCATTTACGTTCACCGAACACGATAATCCAGTCATGAACTTTGGCGTTTCCATAACCACTTCCGTTCATGCAGCGTCGTTTATTGTTACTGGGTTTTGCACTTTTTCCATCGTCCGGTATTCTAGAGACTAGAAAACACGACGTTTCGGAAATTGGTTCTGTTTCCGTCCTCAGATCAAGGGGGAAAATACCTAATCAGTTGGGTCCCACAGAAAGATCTAGGTTCGATCTTTCTAAGGGACCCAACTGAGTAGTTGTCTACCCCCCTCACCTGAGGACGGAAACATTCAGTTTCGAAATGTCGTGTTTTGTAGTTTTTAGGATACCAAACGATGGGAAAAGTCCAAAAGTCCAGTAATTCTGAGTGTTATACACCATCGTCAGAACCCTTTAGAATCAACTAACGATAGCATTAAGAAAACCCTGCAGTTTGTCCCATAGGGTGTATTTATGGATTTCATTGTGTTCTCACAATAAGCGGACATTGTTGCCAACAATAGCCTTAACCGGTTGACTTTTGCGATGGAGAAACGGTGTTTTCCGTGCAGTAGGAACTGAATTTTAAAATATTATTATTGAATGAGCAACAAAATTCCACGATACACCGCATGTTTCAGTACTCACCCCTTCGGATACTGACATCAAAATATCGCCCCAAATTCCCAATTTTAAACCACTTTTGACTGTAATGTACAGCCCCTCAAACTTCTAATATCAGAATTCTATTCGAATTTGGTAGAAAACCTGTACATATTTTCTTCTATTCTCATAATAAATTCCATTTCACATCGCTTTACCTCCTTCACTTCCCAACGCTTTACCTACTCCCCAGTACTCTTCTCTTCCATTTTCTCTTCTCTCTGTCTCCGTCTGTCTCTCTTCATAATTTATAAAGATAATTTTGGGGCCTCCAAAACAGGGCGTTTAATTTTGTTTAATTTAAATTTGGTGCAAATATTGTGGTTCTAGACAATATCAATGGCCAGTTTTTTTATTTAAAACACAACGTTTCCGAGACTGGATTCTGTCTCCGTCTTCAGGTAAAACCTACTCAGTTGAATCTAATCGATAGAGCTAATTCCTATCTCCGATATATTGATTGAGCTCAACTGAGTAGATTTTACCTGAAGAAGGAAACATAATCCAGTCTCTGAAACGTTGTGTTTTGAATAAAAACAGGTCTGTGGATAATGTATAGAAACATAATATTTATATTAATACACCATCGTCACAAATTGTAGACCTTATTGAAATTGGGAGGGTTGCATGAGAAACATTGAGTAGTTAGCGACTAGCAACTACAGAGCAACTTGAAAGAAATTCCGAAATCGTTGCGACGTTCCGAGTTGCTTCTGCTTGCAGTTGCCCTCCCAGTTCAAATTTATCAACATTAGAGCCACTTTGTTTATTGCTAGTGGGGTGGGACTAAGTTCCTTGTACTGCGGCCACTTCTGGCCTATTGTACCAGCCCCAGATGATAGGTGAGGGTAACTGTGGAGCAATTGGTGGAATGAAGATTGGCAGGGGAAACCGAAGTACTCGGAGAAAACCTGCCCCAGCGCTACTTTGTCCACCACAAATCCCATTTGACCAGACCCGGGATCGAACCCGGGCCGCCGCGATGGGAAGCCAGCGACTAAACGCTTGAGCTATGGCGCGGCCCTTACAACTAGCTAAGCGGTATGTAATCTTGCGACGATAGTCGTCTGCTAGGCGTGTATTAACCTTTTGAAGGATAAATAGAGACACATAGATAAAAGAAATTGAGAGGGGCGCTAGAAGACATTACCTTTTCCGGGTGGGGGGGGGCATAAACGTTTCAGGCTATGAGACCTGAAGAGAGAGACAGAGAAAGTATATTCTTCTGTTGGCTATTTAGCTATTTAGCATAAGCGGTTAGTCACTGGCTTCCCACCGCGGCGGCCCGGGTTCCATCCCGGGTCTGGTCAAGTGGGATTTGTGGTTGACAAAGTGGCGCTGGGGCAGGTTTTCTCCGAGTACTTCGGTTTCCCCTGCCAATCTTCATTCCACCAATTGCTCCACAGTTACCCTCACCTATCATCTGGGGCTGGTACAATAGGCCAGAAGTGGCCGCAGTACAAGGAACTTAGTCCCACCCCACTAGCAATAAACAAAGTGGCTCTAATGTTGATAAATTTNCCCTTCTGACTTGTTTCCTAGACGTCCTCACTTCGTATCTCGAATGTGCCTTCGACTATCGTGACGGAGGGTTTTCGTAGTTTTCTCAGTTTTCTCAGACATGCTGCGATAGTACCGCTTCCTTCTTATTCCTTTCCAGTTCATTAATCTCTGGCCATCCTTTTGTTTAGATTATGTAGTCTGAGCTACGGATAGCGTTGTTAAAAGGCCACAAATAAATAAATAAATAAATAAAAATTCATTTTTATTTTCCTCTTAATTTTTTTCATTTTCTCTCTTCTCTGTCTCTTCCTCAATTTATATTTTATTCTTCTCTTTTACTTTTGCTTGCTTTTTGTTTCAGTTTTACGTCATTGCTTTGCTTCTTCTTTCCATTCGTTCCCTTCATTTCGTTGTTTTTTCTAATGTTTTGTCCCGTTATCTTTCTTTTATTTTCTTCCTTTTTCGTTCTTCATCACCTTTCCATTTCACGTCTTCTCCTTTGTTCTATTTTTCATTTCGTTTAATTCTCCCTTCTTATGTTCTTTCCTTTCTTCACTTTTCTGCCTTTATTTCTCACTTCTCCCTTTTTTTTATTCCTTACTTAATTTTCCATTTCTCCTCCCCCTGTCTCTTCCCTGCCTTCATTCTGTGTTCCTCTCCTCCTGCCCTTCATTTCCTGTTGCTGTCACATCAGTATGGTGCCGCGCGGCTCACTTTGGGTCCGCCCGTCACTTATCCAACCTGCAGGCTCAATCGATAAAGTCGCCTGTCTCTCGACTGTCTGTATTGATGATGATCCGGCATATCCACTGTCAACCGCGGATAAACAAAACGGGACGCATAATATATCCTCCAGGAACCCCTAGCGATCTACCAGGAGTGACATGTGAATGGTTTCAGACACATCTGAGGCGAACGCGCGGCTGTGTGGAGGACGGAGGCATTGTGACATTCCCGACAGACTCACAAAAATAATGGATGTAAGCTAAAGAGGTAAACTCTGTCCTCTTGCCTATATACACACCACGTCATCAAGCAGCTTAGCGTAGCTTAACTCTCTAGACCTGTATTCGGAAAGTGCCGTGTTCGAATCTCGGCTGGGATACCAATTAACCTGTTTGAAATATTCCGCTGTTTTCTTCAGCCCCTCGAGTCAAATATCGGGATGTATTGCTTTAGTTCCTAGGGGGATGAGACTGAGTCCACTTGGTACGTCGGCCACTAATTGACCTGCTATACCAGTCCTGGATGATAGATGAATATAGAGAATTCGATGGGATGAGAATTGGCAGGGGAAATCGAAGTACTCGGAGAAATCCTGCCCCAGCTCCACTTTATTCACCACAAATCCTACATGACCTTACCTCAGATAGCTTTCGGGCTACCGCAGTGGGAAGCCGACGACTAACCGCCCGAGCTATGGCACGTCCTAAATTCCGGGATAGTGTTTCGACTGCACCACTGCCGCTTTCTTCTGTATCTCTTCCTATTTCGTCCCAACACTTGACGCCATGTTGTCTCGAGACAGTGAGATGGTAGCAGAGCTAGCCACAAGAGACACAGGCAGCAGATAAGAGTGTTACACATGCGCTAACTGGCGGAAGAAAAATGCGAACTTCGTTTCATTTCAACTGAAATACGATCCCCTTTCAGGATGCCGGAAATGGACTAGCAGGCGCCAAATAGGAAGTGACGTCACGTCTATTAATTGACGACATAACTAGTTAGCTAAACAGACCGACAGATGTTCCTAGTTAATTCAATCGATCTGATTGCCGTCTGCTATTAATAGCCTGACTGCAGTAGCTACGCACAGTGCATTTCGCCCCGTAGCGCATACTAACATTATTTCCTATTGTGTATGTAACCAACATGCCATGGATAGGTGAATTGGGGCATGGTGTTAAAACACCATCCATTCTTAACCCTAGAAGTGCCAGATGACGAATATTTTGACCTTCACAGGAATTTCTATACGTAACAGCCTATGACATCTGTCGGAGTTTTGCCTGAACTACGTAGTGAAGAAATGTTTGGAAAGATTTTACTTGCAGTAGAACTTCTTGGGGACTTGTGTGCTTTAACGGCGAAAGCGGGCGCCTCCGACATCCCGAAATGCAGGAGTTAACATTTTCCTCCTCTCGCTCCCACTTGGAAACAAAACTGATTTCTCAGTTTCATGATCCTTGTTATACAGACGGTAGGACTCCTTTGATGGGGGATCAGCCCGTCGCAAGGCCGCTACTTACACTCAGAACAACACAAACAGAATAAACGCATACACACACCAAATATCCATGCCTTGTGTTGGTTTCGAACCCAGGATGCCGGCTTCCGAGCAAGCGAAGACAGTGCATTCCTCAGACTTATCGGCTACTGTGACTGGCAGATAGAAATACTGATCAGTTTTAATCTCGGGCCGTCCTTAACCTCTGATACTCGTTGAATTTAAAGCTTGGTGAGCCCTTAGTCATTCTAATCTTACGCCTCCTGGACCTAGGAGAACTATTTTTAAATGTATAGGAACTCATTTGAATTCAAAATTTCACGGGACGTCGGTGGAGAAATGTATAACAATTTGAAAATCTGAAATACACCTCACGAATGCCGACGGCATCTAACGCAGTAACTCACCAACTCCACGGAGATGAGCCTTTCTTAAGCAGCCGCCAGTTGCTCAACTGCTCACGAATTTCATGGATTCGGACAGTTCATTTCCATATTCACAAGATCGCTTCAGCGGTCCGAATTCTGCGCCTGATGAATCCAATCCAAACTAACCCACGCTACGTACTTCTTTTAGAGACTTCTTAATATTGTAGCATGTAGACACATTTCCAAGTTACAGCTTTGTAAACAGGAGACAGTATACCAGCCATTGCTAGGGAACAGCGCTGTGGACACGCTTCCTCGGCAACGAGAGAACAAACAGTAATGGAAGAGATGCATTCTGTGCGGTCCGTGCCGATATTATAAAACGAGGACCAGCTGCCATTACGAGGCAGTTCTCAGACGGCAGTTAGAAGTGTAGGAGGTTGGTGTGAGACAGTCGTGAGACTGTGAGGACGTGAGCCTGGGAGCAGAGGAACGTCCACTGTTGGAAGACGTTACCAAGCAACGCAGTGAAGCCCGTCAATGGGAATACTAGACTTTATGTCTAAAGTCACACTTAGTCACGTGCCAGTATTATCCTCCCAGCTTCTTCTAGATCTTTCTATTAGTGTTTTCCTTCTGGCTTTTTAAAACATATTCCATTTGCCACTTTTATGTAAACCAGTTTGTTGACTGTAGCTGACGGTTTATATTTTTAAAACAGAATCACACGGTTTGCTGGTTTGCTGCATTTGGCGGCTTTACACGTCACAGAAACCTCCGCTGAACCGTCATAAGTTATCCTGAGATGTGAAGTTGTTACAACGCAGTAATCAGATGAAGTCCCTCCAGTGACAATCGAAACATCCGTCTACCCCTCTACCCTACCCTTTTCCCAGTATTTACATTACATTAGGAGGATGAAATACGTAGAAAAAAATTCCGGTGTATCATGCAGTGTTAGCTTGCAGAAACTTGACGTGTTTTGATGAAACTAACCGCCAGGTATCAGGCGTTTGCTTTTCTAAAACTGTTAACATCGCATTTGTATCAGGCTCGTTATAGAGAGTGCGTTTTTCTTTCTTTTTCTGTTTCTCGCATGTGACGTCACGAGTTATCGGGGGGGGGGGCAGCGGGATGGGGGGGGGGGGGAAGGGGGGGGGAATAGAACTGGGAGTGAAATGAAGTTCGTATTTATAGAAATATTTTCTCTCTCCGTAATAAAAAAGAACTCTTTATGAGTCTTCGTATAAAAATAGCTTGTGGCTTATGGTGCTATCGGGTTGTATATGTTCTCGGTAGCGCCATGACCTAAACCTCATTTTTTATGTTATCTTCGTAGTGAATGCACGGCAATGAATGCATGTAAATTGGATTTGAAGTTTTCACGTCGTTGACTGCGAACACTGCTGTTTCTGAGACTTGACGTTCTGTATTGTGATAGAGGTTTCACTAGCGTATCGAACGAACATACCGCCTCCATCTTCAGGGAAGAAGAGTTAGAAAAACAATGAGCGCTTATGTAATAAGACGAACTGTATTAAGGTTGTTTTCTTCTTGCTGGTTACTAGCTTGACGTAATTTTCGACCCTGAAGATGGAGGCGGTAGTCTTTAATGCCTGTAAGACTCTCAGAATAGTTTAAGAGCTCCCGTATTTCGTTTTGTAAGGCGTGTTCTTCAAGCGTGGTGCCTCTGAAAATATTTCTAGTCGTCAGAGTTCCTGGCTACAGATCCAGAGTTCCGGGTTCTATTCCCGGCGCTACCAGATTTTCTGAGAAGCAGTGGGTCTGGAACGGGGTCCATTCAGCCTCGTGATGATAACTGAAGAGCTTTTTCAAGGAAATAGCGGCTCCGGTCTAGAAAACCGAAATTAACGACCGTGGGGATTCGTTGCGCTGACCACGTGACACCCTGTATCCGCTAAAGTTGGCACTAACTTCGCCGACAAGTGGAGGTCGCTCGGTCGGTATAGTTCGCTTGCGGACTCAAACCACGGAGCTCTTTTTCTAGTTCTGTTTCCAGTTTTGAGTGAAAATGAGATACTACATACACATTTCTGACTTCCCATATTGTGTTGCGCCATAACCACACACTTCCATAGGGTTATCTCAGTTGTAAGTGTGTGATTTCAGAATGTGTTTTGTTTTAAGTCACATTTAAATTGCAGTTGAGTCCCTTGCTTCAAACCCAAATTCCCGAAGACTTGTGTCGATGAACATAGTACACTCATGCGAGGAAATGTCGAGGCCGCAAGATTTGAAAGTGGCTTTTCCAGTGGACTAAACGCAGTAGGTTTCCTTTCGTGTCTTGTTCACCTGAAAACTGAAATAGAAATCATTTTCCGAAAGGTAATGCTCTCAGTAAACTAAGATGTTGGACAAATTCAAAATATCAATTAAAGTTATCCTTTCATCCCCTTTAAAGCCTTCCGTTGTCCTGCCTGGTCACAGAGAGCCCATTGCAGAATCCCAGACATTACTAATGAATGTATCGACATTAGAGACGACAACAGTGGTTCCATATGGTGGCAGCGATTCTTTTCCTCGCTAGTGCGTCTAAACCGCTTGTGGGGGCCACCCTGTCCCCTATCGGATACTTTCCCCTTAAAATAAATTAGCTCAAGTGCAGAATTTCCCACTCATCTCCTGCTAGTGCCGGTGTTAAGAATACATGAAGCTTCATTTCGTCCGCACAAACAACTTAAGTAGCTTCTGGGCATGTTACGCTTTGTAGTCTGACAGATCGTAACCAAAGTTTCGAAGGAACCAGCTGTTTCTACCCTGAAGATAGAGGCAGCAAGTTCCACGAAATATTGGAAATATTCTGTTGGTTATTCTACTCTACCAGTATCTTTTTAACGTTGAATGGTGGGGTGACTGATAAATTGGGAAGGAAACGGTCGTGATTTTATCAAAGCACTATCCCAACTTAGGAAAATCACGGAAGACTTCAGTCAGAATTAAAACCAAGCTCCGTCCAGTCTATTCTGACTTGTTAACGCTATGTCAAGACGCTCGATGTCACTATTCAGTAGTAGTAGTAGTAGTAGTTAGTAGTAGTACTAATTAAGCACTACGCCATGAAGACGTATGGGGGGGTGGATGTATAGATCCATTTTCTTGACCGGCAGTAGCTGGAGGTGAGTGGTCAGCTTCACGCCCAGGCCGCTATACCCCCGGGGAAAGAGCCCCCGGTACCCATTGTATAGGAAGTTGCGTGGACCCCAGAGACAGTCTGGATGACTTGGAGAAGCGAAATTTTTTCACCTACCGGGACTCGAACTCCGACCCCTCGATCGTCCAGCCCGTAGGCAGTCGCTATACCGACTGAGCTACCCCGGCTCCTAGTAGTAGTAGTAGTAGTAGTAGTAGTAGTAGTAGTAATCTGTGGGCGCTACAATTCGTGATGAAACTTGGCCTCTGTTTAACAGTTTCGTAATCATACCGACAGTCGGTAGGATTCTTTGGAACGAGGATCAGCAGTCTGTGATGTTAATTCTGTGAGAACATCAGATTTCTTGCAAAGCTGGGTTGGGAAACTGTGGCAATTCAGACTTTGGGAATTCTTTCCCAAACCCAAAGCCGTACAATCAGATGCGCATGCGCATAAAGTGCTGTCTTCCGCAAGATGAGGCAGCCGCTCCGCTCTGCATTCGCAAGTGAGTGTTGCGCGGGTTGTCGGCTCTTGCGAATATAGGGGTCACGTGACGTGACGTGTAACCTCACGGGGTAGCCGAGCGAACGGGTTCGTACGTAAGCGAAATGAA